GATGACGGCCCCTAGATACTGAAGCCTGGTCGTTGGGCGAAGATGGCTCTTTTCCAGGTTGATGGAAAAGCCGTGACTCCAGAGAGAACCTGCATAGTGTACTGCAGATCCTTGACCGCCTGCCGGGGGGATGACGACTGGATTAGCACATCGTCTAAAGAGCAGTGCAGCCTTACTGGTCGTGACGTAAGGAACCAGTGCTGCGAGGACCTTGGTGAACGTCCTGGGGGCCGATGCTAGGCCAAACGGCATGGCCCGGTACTGGTAGTGCTTACTGGCGTAAGTGAACCTCAGGTATCTGCGGTGGGCTTTGCATATGGGCACGTGGAGGTAGGGCTCTTTTAGGTCTATGGAGGTTAAGATGTCTGATGCAACCCAGGATCGACTGGAGGGACTGCATCTTGAACCTCCGATAGGTGACATGATAATTTAGTCGCTTTAAATCTAGGATCCCACTCCACCCTCTGGAGTTTTGGGGGGCCAGAAACAGGATGGAATAGAACCCTGTCCCCTCCTGACCAGGAGGTACCAGCTCTATGGCCCTGATCTCCCTGAGATGTCCTATTTCCTGTTCCATGAGGGATCTTTTGACTGGGCACGAGGGAACGGGACACCTGATGAAATGATGGGGAGGAAGAGAGAGGAATTCTAGGGTGAGACCCAGTCGGATCGTTTGCAATACCCACTGGTCCGACGTGACCTGCTCCCATTGGGCATGAAAAAATTGGAGCCGCCCTCCTATGGGAGCTGATTCCCGACAGTCACTTATACTTTCTGAAAGGGCGGGAGTCAGATCCCCCCCAAAAGGGTCGTCTGGAGTAATACGGTTGGCGACCTCTGTCCCAAAAGGACTGACGGTCCTGGGACCTGTCCGCCTGCTGGTTGAATGGGCGATGCGACTGAGAAGAACTGGAAGAAGGTTCTGAGTTCCGAAAGGACTCCCTCCTGTAGGAGTAAAAGCCCTTCTTATCGGATTTCTTAGAAACCAACGGCATCATCTTCTCTTTGTCCTTATTTTCCACTAGGACTGGATCCAAGACCTCCTCGAAAAGCTTAACCCCTTTGAAAGGGGCAGAAACCAACTTCCACTTGGAACACATGTCCACGTTCCAATGTCTCAAACACAAGAGACGCCTGGTGGTGACATTCGAGGCCAGGGCCCAAGAAGCGAACTTAGCCGCACTGAGGGTGACATCAGCAGTATACTCGGTGGCAGCCATGATTTTATTAATCTCCTGCCTTAACTTGGTATCCTTAACTGGAACCCTCGCCATTAACCTCCTTAACCAGAGGAGAGCGGCCTGGAAAGAAAGGAAGCCGAGGCAGACGTCTTACTTGCTGATGCGGCCGCCATGTGCGTCTTATGACATGCATTCTCAGATTTCTTATCCTCAGCCTTAAGACCCTCTAACAAATCAGACGGAAGCACAGATGTTGAGGTGAGGGCCGCAACCGGAGGATCGATAGGTGGTAGCTTAAGTAAATCCTCCAGGCTGGCATCCACAGTATACAGCCTCTTATCATTACTAGAGGGGGGAACCCTGGTAGCAGGCTGAGCCCATTGTTTCTGAACCAAATTAAGAAACATCTTGGGAATAGGAATGATCTCCTGAACCGAGACCGGCTCCTCAAACAAATCTCCAGACAAATCATCCAGTTCAGCAGGAGCTTGAACAGGTGGAGTGGACCCCATACGGGTGGCCAGCTTGGCCTTGTCCAAAATGGTTTTGAAATTTGCAATGTTAAATAGTCCTGATGAAGAGGGCTTTTGAGCTGCTGCACCTTCCTCCCCCAAGAATTCAGCCTCCTGAACAGGCAGAATGTCATCCCCCTCCTCCCAGTCCGAAGCCTCGGAACCTGAAGAGGAATGGGGGGAAGGGATGTGGAGGAGAAGCAACCACGGGAACTGGCTGGGGCTCTAGGTGCTTAGTCTTGCGGGTCCGTTTACCCTTGTGCAACATGCCCACTTCGATGCCCTGGGAAATGGCCCTGTTGATAACTTCCTGCATTTTCACTGAAAGGTCAGGCCCAAGATCCTCCATGGGCCGAGCCCTGGGTTTGGGCCTTGAAGGCGGAAGTTGAGGGCCCAAGGGACCCAGGGCAGGGCCTTCCTCTAGATCCGAAGGGCAAGCGAAAAGATCAGCCTGATCTACCATCGAGGCCCCTAGAGATGCTGCCCTAGACATGGAAGCTGTGGGGGAAAACTCCCGGCCCTCATCCTCGCTGTCTGAAACAGGCCTTGGCTGGGCCGGAGAGACCTCCATGGCAGGCTCTTCAGGAGACACTGTTTGGGAGGACTGCGTTTGGTGCTGGGCTTTGGAGAATTACTTTCCAAGGGCTTTTTGGCGACGCAATGTATCCTTGTCTGGCCCTGATCCCTGCTTAGGGGCTGGCCTGGAGTATGGTTTGGAGCCCCTTATGGCCTCCCTAGCAGCCACACCAGCCTGCCTGGAGAAAACCCTGGAGGAACCCCCTGCCTGGGTGGAATCCTCGGGAGCCTGCTCAGCCATTATTAAACTGTGGAGCAAATATAATCAGGGGCTACCTCCACTCACCACCTTGCAAAAGCCCTGCAAACCAACAGACGCTCTGAAGAGACATGGGGGGGGGGGGTTCACAGCAGCAATATCCAGCAGGTGGAATAAAGCCCGAGCGTTAACAGCTCCCAGTGCTGCAGGAATGAGGCTTGTGACCAGTGGCCCCAATCCTTGCCGCTCAGGTGAAAAGGACACACACCAAATTGCCAGGCAGGCCTGACAAAGAGTGGCTTCTCGGGGCTCCTGCTGTGAATCAGGCTGCAGGCAGTTGCGGCACGAGGTTGAAATCAGAAACCGAAACTGCAAATAGCTCCCTAAATGGTGACCGGAAGATCTAATTACTTTAAAAGTTGCCGCCAAGCCATCCGGAGCTCTGAGGCACCCCACCTGCACGCTGGCCACCCAAGGCACGGACGCCAACCGCAGGAGCCTCAGTGGGGCTTTCCTCCTCCCCAGCGAGGGTCGCAACAGTGCTGGCGTTGGCACTCCGACCCACGTGCTTGCCCCAGCAGCTGTCTGCGTTCCGTGCGGCGCCTGGGAGTTAAGCAGGACGCCGGAAAATCGAAGAGCGAGTTAGGAACGAATTAAAGAAGTCTCATTACACTCACTCAGCCTGATCACCACCTAAACTGAAAATACTCACAGTAAATGCTCAAGAGAGTCCAAGTTAATAAAATAAATGAAGAGAAACTTTAAGCGCATTCGCTGGGCTAGCTGAATTGAAAAATCTGAGGATAATCAGCACCAGAGGCGTGGCTTAAAGTTTCAATTCAGCTCTGGGCAGTTTGGTTGTATTTAACCCGTGCTTGGACTCTCCTGAGCAGCGCCCTGGAAAATGCAGTATTTTATCTTTCATCCCAATGCTGTGATGAGGAAAGGAGGAATTACAAGAGCTGCAGTGGCGCAGTACTACTGGCTACTTCTGCTGATCACTGACTGACATCAGTTTGGTAGATCAATTCTCACCAGGCTCAAGGTTGACTCAGCCTTCCATCCTTCCAAGGTGGGTAAAATGAGGATCCAGATTGTTGGGGGCAATATGCTGACTCTGTAAACAGCTGAGAGAGGGCTGTAAAACACTGTGAAGCAGTATATAAGTACTATTGCTACATGCTGAGTTATAAGTCTTGCAGGAATAGCAAGAGTATGATAAATTATTC